CTATAGGTACTATGAGCAACATCATCCATCAGTAGCTAGACTACTGCAATGAATGTGCCTGCTCTGTACTGAAGCAACTCAGAGATGTTTACAAAGACATTCCAGTCTCTGTCCATTCTTTTATACATCATTACATTATTCGAAATAGCCATACACTGTCCACCTCCAGGAGGCAACCAGAGCACCCAGAGGAAACCAATGTGAACGTGAGGAGAACATGCAAATGTGATTTATTATGGCATTATGGCTGGGACATGTAGGATTGTTTTGCTTGCATATCTACCTGGCTCACAGTGATGGCTATCTCTCTGGTCCCTTAAAGAATTTCTTATCCGCCAGATAATTTAATAACAGCAACATACAATGTATTTTGACTTTCTGAATTCTTAGTGGAATAGGAATGTGTCCAATAACCTTAATACATGTACTGTTATACTGCTTGCAAAATCACTCACTTTTAAAAACTGCTTATCCAACTCAGGGTCGCAGTGATTGGGAGCCTATCCAGTATTGGGCCCTGGAAAACATTGGACGCAAGGCACGACACGACCTGGATGCCAATTTTACAGACGCCAATTAATCTAACTGTATCATTTGACTGTGGGAGGCAACTGGAGATCCCCCAGAGGAAACCAATACTCACTTGTGTGAGGTAATTTTCTCACTTGGGATCCCAATTTGGCTCTGGTTTTGGTATGTAATATCGTCATGAAGTTAGTTACTGAAAGGTAATTAAAATAAACTTATGTTTACAGTTATTTACAAATCATTTTTGTATTGTATTGCATTATTGAAGTACATTGTTTTTTCTGCACATTTTCTGCACATGTGCAGCTTCTAGGCTGTCTGAGGTTTCCCCATTACACACTCTCACACACTATAAAAATATGAGAGTATAGTATGTTCCATTGAACTGGTTCATCCTGTACAAAATAGTGGAAATGGTTCAGGGCATTATTCCTGAAAGCTAAAAGTCAAAGCAGATCAGCCCTTTTCCTTAGTATACTGTGTTCTGGAAAAGAACACTGATACACATGACTATATAACAGGTGTGATCATTTATACATTAAAATCAACAGCAAACCTGGATAATGTGTCAAGTCATACATAGATCCCAGGGAATTTAAAAACAGTGGTTCTTGCATAAAATGACCTCCAAATGAACCTCAATTAAGCCTGCAGGAAGCTGTTGATGACATTTCTGGACCTTTATCCATGTACTGTATTAACATCTAGTGAAAAACAAAAACAAGGTGTGCTGACACTGTTATAATTGCTGGAGGTAATGCAAGTCGTATACTCTGATATATAATTTGATGTATACTGTAAGTGTATAAACTGTATATATTAATACTTAAGAGGAAACATACTTTGTATGAGAACGTGTGATCAGTACATCATAAAGTTACAAACATATTTTTTTAAGCCAATCAATATAAAGATGTTAAAAAATTGCTGTGACAGTGACATTTAGAATGAAAATTGTTACACTGACCTGTATTGTGCACATATTGGAAGAAGACTCAGTGACAGGACAAAAGTATCAGAAGAATATAGTGAAATACATTGCATGACCATTGTTGGTGCCATTGGGGATGATTAATTTTGCCCTGTACTGTTGGGGTGATCATGGTATTTCTGAAGTAGGAAGACGTATACATTTGTCTGCAAGGTTATTTAATCTTCACACCATAGAATCCATCCACAGACAGGTTTGTTGACTAAATACTTATCCTTTTCTAGTTTCTTTATACTACAGTATGTTTGCACATGGTGAGCTAAGGGGATGTGCCAAACATCCTCATTCTTCAATTATATACAGTAGAATACAATAAACTTAATTTTACTTGAAGGTTCTTACATTAACCTGAAAAAGATCTGTTTTTAAACCTGTTCAATCTATTCCATTTGCAAGCAACAGAACACTTTTAATGGCTTAGTCACTTTTCAGGTCAGTCTTAAGATGTTAATATGACTGATTTATAAGCTTTTAAACACTACTGCTACATAATTGTATGTTGAATGAAATGGAAATTCAGAAAAAAAAGTGAACGAAAAAAGTTTAATTTTAGATACACTAATCTCGAAGAGATTTTCCTTATTCGCATTCACGCTAGTATATACCGTATGCCTTATAGCAGAATTATTACGGGAGAATGAAGCCTCTATAAAATGCATTTTCTTGTAAAAATGACCACGTACAGGTCAACGCCAGTAACTTTATGAAGTTTTCCGTGCCATGAAAGGCTATTTCCTTGTTCAATTCACAAAGTGCTGAAATTGCGCTTTTATTTCGCATTTTCCATAACCCTGCAATATATCTTGCAAACTTGCAGAATGATTATTATAATCTCACTGAATCTTAATAAATTCACGCGTATACGGTATACTGTATGTGCGAGTACATCAATTTGTGCGGTCTTTACATAAATACAAAATGCCCATACAGTACATGCATATAGCACCTCGGACAGTTCCGAAAATCCTATAATCCGCGGAAATTCAAACAGGCTGTTTTAAAACCGGAACCATTGATGCAGGGTTCCCCAGTTCCGATACTGGTGGGCCGGTACTTCTGCAGATTTTCCAGATCTCTTTAAAACACCAGCACCCAAAGAAGCTGTTAGAGGCTCATAAATTCAATTAAACAAATCAGAGCTTGTACACTGAGTCTTGTTACAAACGGAGTCCTGCCAGCACTCCTCACAATGTTAATTAGTTTTTTTTTTAGATTTTTTTAAATTCTTCCATACTCTGTGGTTTCAGAGAAGTCTGAATATCGGTCGTTAATTTTCCAATCGATACATAAGGAGAAGTACTTGGGAATGAAAAACGCATTTCAGAAATTGTCTGAAGCATAACTTATCTTAAACCTGTTCAGTGATCAGTACATTGCAAGCATTTCATGGTTATCAACTGATAATGTCCAAGAAAAGCGGGCAATGAAAATTAAATTTGAAATTATGGTTTCAGAAGAAATCTGCTTGATCTTTTAAACGCTACTTTTAAATATTTCATAACGTTCAAGTGTTGTGTTTATATGTTAGATATTTATGTACTGGGCGGTACGTTTAGGTATATCTGAGCATTGAGAAATTTGATGGTTGAGTCTGGCCTCACCGATGAAGAAATCTATCACCCACCCCAATACCTGTTCGTGAGAGGTGTCTTTAGCGCCTCACTGCCTACGACCATGAACAGGTTATGAGGACGCTCATACAGTAGATAAACTCTTTGAGTCATTTTTCCAAAACGATTTATTATAATTATAAGGAGAAACGTGTAGCCAGAAGGAATCGGGAGACTATAAAATAGTACAAGAACAATAGCATTCTCCATTGTCTTTATTTGCTGTTGTTTTTTTTTACAGATGTACGAAGGTATGAAGGAATCTGAACCTCAATGCACAAAATCACCTTTATATTGTCGCTGACAGTTGACAGCACCGCACAGCTTAACAAAATACAAACCGTGACAGTTGGTTTTAGAGATTTTTTTTAATGCAAAGGCAAATTCCACCGGTGATAATAATTGGGTCGCAGCGAGTTCGCGGTAACTCAGCACACTCAGGGCATACACGCCTTCACTCAATGAAGCACAGGGGAGCAATTTAGCACGCCAATTAATCCAGACAGCATGTTTTTGGATTTAGAGAGAAAGCAGGAGCACCTGGAGAAAACTCTCGTCACGTGGACGTGGACATGGACACGAGGAGAAAATGCAAACTCCACACGCCCAAAATGGACTAAAACATTGGACCCTACACCTCTGAAACAGCAGAGCTAACTGACGATCCACTGTGCTTTCCGATGATGATTATGACGTTATACTGTACATTATCATATTTGTAGTGATTGAGGCTTTGAAATATAGTTTTTAATGCCTGGAAACTTTGACATACTGTAGATTTTTATTAAAGACAAAATCTTAAAAAAACGAAATCTTTAACGGTTTTCTTTTTTATTTTGAAGTACTGTAGGATATTTGCCTGTGACGGGTAGGGACGCAAGGTGAATTATTACGTTACTGTCTTATAGTTTACTGCAGTTTATTAAATATCTGTATTCATCCGTCTGTTTTCTTAATACGTGCGGGTTGTTTAATATGCACCCTGCACAGACGACAGCTATAGTATGTACTGTACGTGTATCTATGTGTTGTTGGGGATGTCAGAGCGCATGCTATAACATTAAAGAATGGATCCAGCTACAGATGTCAGATCATGGGGCTGTAGCCTGTAGATGGCACAAGCGTTCTTCTGTAGTTTAGCATTAACCCCAGGAACATCGCATTAGCTTCCAACTTTAATAAGACTGGGTGTGGGTATCAAACCTTCATGGATATAATACACATCTCTGCATTGGAGAAATATGTTGATTTTATAAATAGCTATGCGTTTAGCAAGTATATAATTTAATAGTCTACTAGCAGGTAAACGATGTACATACAGTACAGACTCCAAACCACATACACTTACTGTGCATTCTCATAACTTCATTTAACTCGACCCTTCCATTGTTTCATATATTACAAACTGAAGTTATTCGGTATTATATCATTTATTAATTCGACTCCTTGAACACTGCATAACCCAAGACTGGAAAACTTTAATGTCAGTTTTGGTATATATTTAATTCATTTACACGCGGGAACATCCGTCTTTATTATTACCGGATCACTTGCATAGGCACTATTGATCTCCAGAAAAAAGAGCACTTGAATTTGATAGAGAGCACCTCCCTCCAGCTGCCCGCACGCCTCCTTTGCTTGAGTTATTTGTTTTGGTTTTATAGGCAAATGATTGATTGTGGGTAGTTAATTGAACATATTGGCATGATTACCAGTTAAGAGAGTGGTGTTCTGTTTGATAGAAGAGAAGGGGGAAAAGTAGCTGGAGAAGAGCTAAGACTTAGTGCCCCTGTTGGCGAGATGGTTGAGTCCTCGTCAAGGTTGCTGTGGTATCCCAGATACACCATTCACTTCGAGCTGTGCACCAACCACAGCAGCACCCACACTGCGCCTGGCCAAGGAATAGAAATTAACTAGCTTGATGTGAATATGAAAGCAATTAATAAAAAGGAGTTTTACGCCAGGTCAACGGAATTGGTCAAAATTTTCAAGAGAGGATGTATTAAATGTGGACGAATGGACTTATTTCAAGCTAGAAAAATGGGGATTAAAACTGGAGTTATATTTTGGAATCTCGTCTTTCTAATGATGATCACATGTGTGCAAGGTAAGTCTACTCTCTGTTGGATTTCTACATGTTTACAGAATAGTGTGTTATATGTTTTGTTTGGGGATATTCGGTTGTGCTGCAAAAATGCGTGAAAATAGGCTGGAGTTAAGAAAACGCATTTACTTGCCAGGCTTGGCGTTCAATGCAGGCATTGAGCTTGGGCTCAATAAATATTCTTGCAGTATGCTCAAGCGGATACGTGAGTTGCTTTGTATGCCTATTAACTAGTGAATTGTTCGTGAATATCCCCTATTGCGTTTAGGTGAAATCCTTCTAAATATGACCAATTCTGTATTGCAAATAATGTGTTTATTGTCACCTGGACAATTACATTACTAACACCTTTTCAACTCTCGTTTATTTTGTAGGATCCTCACATCAGACATGTATAAGTTAAAACATCAAAGTCGCCCCAATAATCGACGAAAAAAAGCTATTTTGGTACAATTATTTAGCGTATGCGCTACGCTATATGCCGATTGTTTCAGTTTTCAACTGAAACCTGTTTCCAATCGTAAGGTAGCACACTTCAATCTGTTTATGCTCTTCAATATCCCATGGGAACTCGTGCCCAGATTATCTGATTTTATAGTGAAAATAATGAAGAAAAACACAACATAGTAAAGTCGATAACGTCACATATTTTTTCTGTTCTTGATATATTACGCAGCCTTTAGACGAGGCTATATATTCTAATTGGATAATTGAATACTGTACATGGTCATTAACTTGAAACAACGAAAATGAAAAATCTTAACATCAGACTGCAAACGTTCTCAAAAAATCAGACGTGGATCCCTGTTCGGTGCAGAAAGAGGTTCTTAACTCGGGTTCATACAGTTTTAACTGTTGCGCGTATTAATAGCTCCAACTATTGAAATAATGAGATAACTGAAATAATTTGGAAACTGAAACTCGTCTTATTCTGATTTTATTTCACTCATTAAGATATTGCTACAGCATCAAGTAAAAGCCAAAATGCAAGAGACATCAGAATCTGGACCAGTTCTGCAGACTGTAATCGCTGTATTTTCCTGGAAAGGTTCATTTGAATGATATATCGGTTTAAGCCTGGATACTACGTAACTGATTCACATTGCTTACGACTAAATTAAGGTTTCACATTGGCTGTATTTTTGCTTTTACTAGTTGAAAATCTTTATTGTAGCACTTGCAACTGGGTATGTTACATAAAAGCAGCATATTTGCATTCCTTGGTGATGACAATTGGGGTTTGATTAGGTTGGGGGTTTACCTCATGATATACTATCTGGACAATATATTTCTTGGTGCTTACCACCTGCCTAGCATTTTAGTTTACATCCATATGTCATTAAACATTGCTAGTCTTGCGTTTGCGACCTGCACTTTTTTAATGGGAATTTCAGACGCACGAATATCTCGTGAAATGCGCTTTCTGTATCTTTAAATTTATAATCTCTATCATGGCATTCAGTTTACAGCTTGTAATATTAAAGTACAGGAAGGGGTTGGAATTTCTTATTGCACAATCCTTATATATTCATATAATAAAGTGTTTCATTCGTTTTTTAAAATAAAAATAGGGATTTCTAAATATTAAATGTTTATTGATTAAAGTGTTGTACACTGCGGTCACCGTTAGTGCCTGGTTGATATCTAACGCGTGGTGGCAGTGTAAGAGATTATCGAAAATAATTAATAGGCTGTACCACATACATTAAACTGCCATAACAGAGGGAAGGTACAGTATCCTTCCTTATGAGCTCTGGTATAATCGTTTCCCTCAGTTGCGGTGTTCTTGAAAGAATTCTGAAGTGGCGTAATACGTTTTAAGCGCTATCTGCTGGTGTATAGAAAAGCATTTAATTGGCATATTTACTTAGGTGGAGGGGACTGTTTTGTTTGTTTAGAAAAGATCAGTAGACAAAGCAGGTTTGAGAGAGAACCCCCTTCCCTCTATTGCTGAATCAAGAATTGGTGCTGTTGCTGTGGAAAATGATACCCATGTACCTCTGATGTTGATCGCACTGTAAGCGAGAGAACGTATTGCCCTACCACCGCACACAACTTCACTAAAACGCGTACAGTTTGATACAGAAAAATGGCTTAATGGCTCAGTGATGGTTATTTAACAAGGTTTTGTACAGTACATATAGAAATGAAGAGCGTCTGGTAACCAAAGTAGCGTGCTACTTAAGAAATCAGCAACGGAGTGAAATGACACACCTTCTAGCCATTCGTCGATGGAAGCTCCTTTACGTGCATTGCATAAAAGACAAACTGATTTCCCTTCTCGTTGCCGAGTGGCGTGCTGACCGCTCTAAACTGGCAGTTACTTTCAGTAGCCTCTCCTATTATGAGCGTTTGTTCTGTGACTGTGCAGTCACCCAAATACGGGGTCCCACTTGAATCGGCCTGTAATATTACCTTATATTGCTTCATTCAAGTTTAATTCCCACATATCCAGTTCGTGCGCAGCTAAGGGCCGTAAAACGGATGAAAATAATTTTATGAAATGAATTGGTTGGTACAGTACCATACTGGACGATAATAGGCAGGCACCTGAATTCTGACTTGCACTAAGCTGCAGCGAAAAAAAAAGTATACTCCTCAGTGAATGAGTGTTTCTAATCTCATGCAATAGAGTAGGCAGTGACAAGCTAACACAAGGCGTCGTCTTTATATTGTACTGTACGTACAGCATCATGCTGTGAAATAATTTTTCGTTATTAATTATGAAATGTTTGTGCTATGGGTAGAATGTAACTGATAAAATCAGATTGTTTTGTGCCAAATGTGATTTTTGCGTCAACAGATACATTTTGTGTGAAATTATATTGATTTCAAACTGGGCGACAGCTTGCTCTTAAAAGCTTTATACTTTGGTCAAGATATATTAATTTGAAAACAGTCAAGATTTATCAGAGAAATACTATAGATTTTTTTTTAAAGGAAAGTAGTTTCCTAATGTGAATATAAGTGATACGACACTTTATGAATTAAGTTTATTTCAAATCTTGCTTTAGTAGTGCATATCTGCAAATCATACTTTCAAGATGCTCATATTCAGAACCTTTTTCAATTAGAAGATTGAAATCTGGCTTCTAAAGCACCCACAGAAGAAGATTAATACCCAAGTAGCTTCCACATGTGCACTGTTTTGAAGCTATGACAGGTGGCACCATTTTCTTGCAATTTACAATATGTGATTCCAATTGAACATTACAAATTGGATAGTGTCATGAGGTGGAGATGGGAGATTGAATTGTTCTAAATAGGAGAAATATAGCCTTTTGCTTTGTCATTCTTCAAAGATGGGGAAAACATTGCAGTAGGGCAATTTAACCAAATAAGTAAAAAAAAAACTGTCTTCAGTTTCTTTTAAGTGATAACCCAAAGCTCAGTCGTGAAACATATTTGAAATTTACAAAGCATCACTTTGTTAGTAACTGATAGCAAAATGCATATTCAACCAATATAAAATCCATGCAACAGTGGCAAGTTCTCTACTAGACTGTAAATAAAGAAATTTGATTTCATTCCCAGTAATGCTGTGACACTAACCCTATGTCAAGTAAGTATTATGTGCTCAAGAGTTTTTCAAGTTTTGATTTCATATTTCTTTCAATTTTTAATTTTATATTTGTTTTATATTACAATTATTAATTCCTGATTCTTTTTTTTATGAGTCTTGTTTTTTCAGTGCACTGTGTAAATGAAGTTTTCCACATGTGCTGAGATTTACCAAAAATAAGCAGACACCCCCTGAGATTCAATTAGAGTATTCCAGTAACATAATGAGCACATGGATGATAGCTATTAGAAGTGGTGAATGCCGAAGGAGGCGCCAGCATTTAGAAAGCCATGACTCCAGAAGGATGTTCGCCAGAATTAATGGACTTTGAGTTGGTCATGTGGTTGGTTGGTTGATTGGTTTGGAATTTTTGGAACAAAGTACAGTAGGACAACAATTATTTTCTGTGTTTGGCTCGTAATAGGGTGAGCTCATAATATATTGGCAGTTTATCTCCCAAAAGTCTAAAGATTAAGCAAATTGTTCTGCAAAGATGTAGACAAGTCTTGAAAATCACTTTAAAATCATGGAAGCAAATATGCACAGGATAGTAGTTGTGTATGAGGTGTTACCTCCTCACTCTGAGGCATATTAGAGCAGCTCCAAGGGGACAAATGCATCCCCTGGTTCATGAAATGTGCAATTTAATTTTAATTTGGCTCTTCTGTCTTTTGGCTGTTGTCATTTCTTTCTGGTGTTTTCACATTTCTCCAATAGAAGTTACACTTAGGCATGCTATTCCCACCACTTATTAACTAGCCATGACAAAACATGATCTGTCTGTAGTCATAATTAACAGTCATGAAAAGAACAGTATTTGCAATATGTCTAGATTCCTCAGGAGAGGCATAAACCTTGGTATTTCAAAGGCCATGAAACTAAAGATTATTTTAAAAGAAGATAATTCCCTATCTTGCAGAGAAAAGTAGAAGGAGCAAGGATGATTCTGGCCTTACCTGGTCAGGCTAGATCTACTGGAAAGAAACCTTCATGAGAAGGTGTGAGCTACTGTACCTTCAGGTGATACTAGCAAACCCTTCTCACCTTTAAGTTAAATTGCTTCATACTATATGTAAGAACTAAAGTATTAGACTTATCTGTAGCTAGAACCACTCTTTATTTTATTCTTGATTATCTCCTGGATTATCCTTTAAGCATTTATTGAAAGAAAGGTAGAGTTTATTTTGACAGTACCCTACCCTGCAGTTGTCTAACCAGCCAGAAAATTTGCTGCTGTGTGCTAGGCAATGATCTCTTTCTGGCTCTATCTAGACAAATACAGGCAGCATTATCACATTCAGATACCAATTTAACATTGCTAATTGGCCAAGGCAAAGTCATTGGGGAAAATGGTCTGCAATCAGAGCAGTGATCTCTGAATTATAGGACTCATCTTGCAATCCAGGCAATGACTGAGTGAACCCAGTCTGGTTCCAGAAAT